CCCGCCCTGGGTGGGGCTGCCCGCGACACCAACCAGGTGGGGGGAGGGGAGACCTCACGGGGAGGACGCAGAAAGAGTGATTATTTTTTAAAATTCTGGTGAAGTCTGAAGACAAAACGTTTCCATTCGTGCACATTGTACAAATGTTCAGTAAATCTAAAGTTTTAGTTCTTCAACAGAACCACAGACAGACAGGCAGAGGAAGGAAACGCGGGCCGGACGGGCCCTCAGGAGGTCACGCCAGTCCACCCCACTGCTCAAAGCAGGACCAGCCCCAACGACATCATCCCAGCAGGGCTTTGCCCCTACCTGGGTCTTAAAACCCCTGGAGGATGGAGAGCCCGCCACCTCTCCTGATGCCGTTTCCAGTGTTTTGTTACTTGCCGAATGAGAGAGTTTTTCCTCACGTCTAACCTGAACGTCCCTTGCTGCAGCTGGAGACCGTTGCTCCTTGTTCTGTCGTCTGCCCCACGGGGCGCAGTCCAGCGTTGTCCTCTTTGTAACCCCGCTGTGGGGAGGTGAAGGCTGCTATGAAATCCTCCCTCATCTTCTCGTCTCTAAATACGCCCAGTTCCCTCAGCCTCTTCTCCTAAGTCACGTCCCCCAGCCTCTGAACTGTTTCCGTTGCCCTCCGCTGGACTGTCTCCAATTTGTCCACATCTTTTCTGTCATGCAGGACCAAACCTGCAGATGTGGCCTCACCAATGCAGACGAGAGGGCAGGATCGCTTCCCTGGGCTTGCCGGCAACGCTCCTACTGATGCATAGACAAATGGATGGACAGAGGGGTTGACGGATGGATAGATCAATGGATAGCTAGACAGGCCAACAGATCGATAGGTGGATGGATAGGGCGATAGATGGGTAGATTGATGGACTGATAGCTTGCTAGATAAAGCGATGTCGATCGATAGATAGCACAAGCTTTCGTGAGGTGGGAAAGAGCCAGGCCGTGGATTCAGCAGTCCTAGCAGTGACAAGGAGATGAGCTCCCACACTCCCTGCAGCAGGGACTGCGCTTTGCAAGACCCTCGCTCTAAGCTGAGCATCTCCTCTGGATGCTGGAGAAGACAAAAGGGAAAGGATTGCTGAGGACCCTGAAAGGGAACGTCTGCAGTATAAGTGAAGGCCTGCATGATGCGCGGTGTTCAGAGCCAGCGGGGATGGGCACGTGTAAAAATACCCATTGCTTCCCATCCACCCTGGATCGGTGCAGGCACCTGCCCTCATTCGTATCAGCCAGTCAGATCAATACAGTTGGGCTGTCCCAGTACAGCTTCTGGAGGCAGATGCAACACTGAACGGCCCTCGGACACTTGCCTGTCCTGCCTCACTCCCCGCTGCCTTCGAGGGCAGACAGAGCTTTGCTGCCAGCCTTGGATTTTACATTTCAATTTCCCACTCCACCACACCTAGGAATTGAAAATACCAGTTCTTTCCCTGAACATTTTATCTTCCACCATTGAGCCAAGGGTTGATTCCTTCCTGTTATTGTTTGAATACAAGCCGGAATAGCTGTTTCTTTTCCTTCCTTAACTTGCCGTTCTTATTTCAATCCAGCGCTGGGACTGCTGAGCCACTGCTCCCTCTGCTGATCCCACCGAGCAAAGCACAAACCATTAGCAGCGCGTAGGCTTGCCTGTTCAGCCACCGAGCTGACAGCACAATGGAAATGTTCAGAAAAGCCATATTGGAAATCTCAGTCATTCCCCATTACGCTCCATCAGTACAAAGCAAAATACTGGGTTTGTTGTAAATGAGAAGCCAGGGAGATTTCTCTTTAAAAATAGCCCTGGTGGGAGCATCGCTGACCTGGTACTGGCCAGAACCTCAAACTCGTGCTTTACAGAGGGCTCCGTTAGCTTCTGCATAATCTTAACTATCATCAAAATGTTTGTATCCCTTATTGTTGCTGAAATACAACTTCACACGGGGACACAAGTCAATGCTGTTAGGCTGTGCCTTGTAAACAGATGAGACGTGGGAAAATCCTCCAGTTTTTTGTAATAAATTAAGACAAATAGCAACCAGGTATTTCACTCCTGATCATTTTAGCAGAAGTGATCCAGATGCTCTGTGAGGTAAATTATCATTTGCTATCTGAACTGTACTTTAACTTGCAGCTTTGTAATATGTAACAAAGATTTGAGCTTAATCTAGAACTGTCCTTTAGTAAATTGTCAGGAATGGGGCATTGGCTTTACAATATCAAGTCTAGAGGCAGGTGGCACCTACGTGGCTTGACAATTCACATGCCACACCACCGGTAGCAGCACAGAGCACAACGCCTGCTTGAAACATGCTTGGTGATGGCATTACTGTAGTTCCAGCTCCCTGGGGACAGTTCCATTTCATGCCATTCCCCCTGACACCCTGGTCTTCTAGATTCCCCTCCTACAGAGCACCGCTAACTCCAGCTAAATTCAGTAGAAGATGCACGTCATCAGCAGCTTATAGGACCAGGACTGATAGGGGAAGTCACAGTGGAATTAGCACAGTGCTGTTGTGTTGCTTTTTTACACTGGGCACAAAGCCACGGTAGACAAGCCTGGTGACTGAGCAATAGAGAACCTGTACAGTTGATGATTATCCTGGTTTTTCCCCACCTCAGTTTACAACAACATCCTTATCCTGCCTCCATTGGCAAATTGTGTCATACCCTTCCAAGTCATGAAAATAAAAAGCAACTGAACTCTATTGTCCATACACAGCAGCTCCTTCCATGTTTAATTAAAGACACAAGAGCAAAAAGAACAAACCTATCCAAATAAACCACATTTGCAGACAAAAGGAGCAAGAGATTGTTAAGCACAAGGTTTAATACACAGCAGTATCCCAATGGATACAACAGAAAAGTTAATTCAATCAGAATTGTAAGGAAGCAACAGTTGTGCATTTCTTTTTGCTTGGTTTTACCACGTACAGGAGTCCAAACCAGATCTCTCCCCGCCAGGACAGAGTGAAGCTGAAGCTGCTTGTTGCAACAGACCTTTTTTGTTTTTAAACAAGGAATTACATATTTGGTTAACTGTTAGCCTTAAACACATTTCTTTTTCTTTTTTACAAGAAAAGAATTACAGACAGTCTCTCAGTGACAAGTAGTGAAGTCAAAATATAACCTTTCAGACAGTTTCAATTCAGCAGGACCAGCCCCCACTCTCACTTCCCAGCCAACCTGGACACAACCATGATCTCTCATCTTCTACACACTCTAGTTGTCTTGCAGTTCCTAGTAGGTTTAATTCAGGTTTTTTCCCAGTCTGACCCAGCCTTTAGCCTCTAACCTTTGACAAATAGCCCAGGATCATTCTCGAGGCCACCTGTGAAACAGGATTTAAATCCAGTACTTACACTCTGGTGGCAGCTGCCTCTGTCCCAACAGGAGTTACTTTCCTGAAGGGAAAGTATAATGCAGCCAATGCAGAGACTGCTTTGAGTTGGATGTAAAGTGGATGGAAATTGGGCTTCTCTCCAGGGGTGTGGTCAGCACCTTCACTCTCTGCAGAGACCAACACAAGTGACCCCCCCACCCCAGGTTCACAACCTACGGAGCAGAAGTTATGAAGTTCCTGTGTGTTCACTGGACCACAAAAAGCCAACCTGGCTGTGTACATACACTATTCCTGCAGGCTGGGAGTGCCTCAGCACAGGTACTAGTCCTTGCAGCACCCAGGATGGAGATAGGTAAGCCAGTACCAGGCCTTGGGCAGTTACTGCTACAGCATAGATGAAGATGACTTATTTGTAATGTTAATAACAGCCATGGCTTCAGATTATCAACACTGCACAGACTGCTTTAGCCTTGTACAAATTAATTTGTTTTTTTCCTGATGGTTTTGCTAGTTCGGGCTATGCATGTAGTTAGGCTATACATGTAGATGGTCTGACAGGTAGAAGCTACTGCTCCTATGAGACTTACCAGATGCTGAGTGCCTCCAAAATGATGTGAGCTGCTTGCCTCTTGTTGATGTCCCTGAGGATGGTGGATACTCAGCAGATTCAAGGCTGCAGTGTCATTGTGTTGGGTATGCCAGGAAGCAAACTACTTACACCCTAGGTGGAGGGTTCCCTTGACAATGTCTGTGCAGAGAACCACTGAGCTATGTGCTCTATTAGCCCTACTGTTTAAAATGCAGCGGGAAGGATACTCCTAAAGGATAGGGTGTCTCTGTGTTCCCACTACTAGAAGGAGAATGTGAGAGAAGACCTTTGCCTCATCATTTAATTTGAGCCACCTCAGACATCACTCCCCAGCTCCATCTTGTTGGGAACTGGCCGCCCCTGTCCAAGTGCCCTGGAGATCTTCAAAAGGAGACTGGACGCACACCTTGCTGGGGTTATTTGACCCCAGCGGTCTTTCCTGCCCAGAGCAGGGGGCTGGACCCGATGATCTCATGAGGTCTCTTCCAACTCTAAACCTCTGTGAATCCGTGAAAGTTGTTCAACTTTAGTTCTACTAGTACTTCTCTGCAGAATTATGTTTGCAGGCAACAAATGGCTGGGTACTTCAGGGTTGCACTAATAAAGCTTTGCCCTACTAGAGGTGGAAGGTCCAACAGGTTTCATCTGTGAAGACTGACCAGCATTCTTAGACAGCCACACTGCCTCTATACCACAGGGCTACAGGTCCTGAGACCTTCACAAAAATCCCAGATTCACTATGCAGAGCACTGATGGGAAGCAGCTGGGGGTGGCCACCCACAAGAACAACCTAGCACCTATTTGCCTTCAGAAGTGCATTACAGTCATGAAGGGAGCTTCCCAACACCACAGTGGAGTGAGCAAGCAGGTGTGGTTATCCTCACAAAGGGCTCACCTGACTAGCCTTGAGGTTTCAGAACCTGGCGTCATGGGACTCTGCTTGGATAATGCCTGTCTCTCTCCTCTCAGTTTTGAGAGGCTTCCAGTTTGTGAAGCTTATCTGGTTGGAGAAGAATCGTATCCAGGGCTCATGTGAAGCCAAGAGTGATGCTTTCTTAAGACGGTCTCCAGACTCTGTGTGGCTGTTGGTCTCACTCTGGGATACCTGAAGCCCTTGTGAATATCTTTCCTGACAGGGATTTCCTACCTCTCCCGATGCAGCTAAAAATTGCAGAGATCAGGAAGGCCCATCTGAGCAAATGAGATCTCATATCAATACAGACTGGTTCAGAAAGTCTATAGCTTACAGTGAGGTTTTGGACCCATCTTTAGGGGGTCTTAGCAATAGCTCAGTGCTCTAGCTCTGTAGGGTGCTTGTCTCGGGGCATTCTTTTTTCAGCGTGATCTTGTCATTCCTTGCAGATCAGGATCAGAAGCATCAGTCAATCTTTCCTCAGCCCCCTTCCTTCCCTTCTAACTTCCCCTGCCAAATTTCTGCCCCTTGTTCCCAGGCTGCCTTCGGATCTGCTAATTTTTAAAGCTGTCCTAAGTGCTCAAACCCAACACAAGGATCAGCTACACTGGGGAAGCTCTGAGCTATGATGGCTGAATGCTCAACTTTCCAAGTGACCTTTCAATCTCTTTGGGAGTGAGTTCTCTTTATGATGTGACCAGGTTCTTGGGATGCAATAAGTCTGTACAAATTAACTGTTTACTTGAGAGGCTTGTACACCTGTGCATCATCTTCAAGACCCATCTAACACTGTAAGCATGTGTACTCTGCAGACCAGAAGCAGAACTGTAGGCAGATCTAGCTGGGCTAGCTTTAAGCTAGCTAGTTTGGACTTTGGTGGTAGCCTACCCATGGTAACAGGGGCAGCTTCAGTGTAGGCTGCATAAACCCACTCAGGGCTTCACTGCTATTTGTACCCAAGGTAGCTAGTTTAAGCTGCAGTCACACCTTTGAACAGAGATGCAGCCACCTAAAATGAAAGTCTTCATATGGGGAGATCTGGTCAGAAGCCTGCAGCTCCCGGCATAATTCAATCCTACAGTGGATGGAATCAAGCCATGTTTTCACTCTGCTTCTTCACTAGGGCATAAATCTGCTGGAAGCTGGGACCTGGTTAAAATCCTGTTTGGTTCTGGCTAGTGTGAGGCTGAATTCTGCTTTAGCTATGATGGGCATCTTCTGAACTGCACCAGGACCCAACCAAGCTCTCACTTCTATGATAGGAGACATGGACAGAATCTTCTCCAGTTAGCAGTGCAATGGCAAAGACTCTCCCAACTCACAATCCTTCAATGCTGCTTTGCAGAAGTAGTTAATTGAGTGGATAGTTCAGCCCAACTCCTTGCCTGCAGGGAGCTAGTGTGCAGCAGTGGCAGCCCCACCTAGCTGGAGGATTAAATAAGAGCACATACAATGCTGGCTTCCCTGTCCCAAAGCTAACATGGATACAGCATTGTGGGAGAGGGAGGGGAATTGCACATGAAGGAAATGACCATGGATATCCAACTTATCCAGTTTTCCAAGCCATTAAAAACCATGAAAAGTGACATAAAAATAGAGCAAAGCTTGAAAAATACTTAAAAGAAGAAAGATACAGATGTCATAACATCCAAACCAAAGATGCAGGTCTGCAAAGGGGGAAGAACAACAAACTGGCTTTGAGTAACATCATCTTGGCAGAATAACCAAACCTCTGCAGAGCACCTGTGTTCTGGCATTTGAAGTACCTGTTCAGTTTTTGCCCGGAGCATGAGAAGAACCTCAGCTATAGCAGCAACTTAACCCAGAGTGTGACGCATCGGAAAAGAGAGCAGGGAGTAAAGACCACCAAAGCTAAGTGTGATGTCTCAAAGGCCTGAAATGTTCCAGTTAAACCAGCCCAAATGCCTCTGGCTCCCAAATCATTCTGGAGGGAATGAACCTAGCTTAAACTGTGAAAGAATTCTCATACATAGAGCACACTCTCGCTCGGGCTCTGCAGGCTGCACAATGTGGATGTCGATGTGAGGCTTTAGCTTCTCAGGCTAGCAAGGGCTTGGAGAGTCCAATAGGTAAAGACTCTGAGATAGATTCCCATCCCACTTACATTGGTGTAAATAAGGAGTAACCCCACTGAAGCAAATGGACTTGCAATGGCTAGGGTTGGTGTGAGCTGGAGAAGACAAGGGAGGTTGAAAGGGGGGATTTACATAGCTTGATTCTCTATCACCCTTAGTAGCACTGGAATCCTAGAAGAGACTGTCAGGCTGCCTAAACATTGTGAAACAGAGCTTATGCATCTGACAGATGGGGAGCCCAACTACATGTACAACAACATGGGCAAGTGCTAGTCTGTGATTAAGGGATGAGTGAAAACCCTCCAGGCCTTCAGTGGGACTTTGCCTAAGCAGATGACTCTTGGAATTCGTGCAGCGTTGAGAGCCTCTGTGGCTGGGTCCCAGAAAGAGCTAGACATGGTGAAGGGAAACCAAGTCTGTGGCATTTGTAGCCTGTCGTAACACACTGAAAACACAATATAGCAAAGACGGTGAAAGAACTGGCACTAAGAGCCAGAGAGACCTGAGCATCTGTGAGCAAATCCCATTTCTCACTGCACAGTCACCTTGGAGGAAAAAGCCCTCTACTGTGAAGGACTAGTAGCTGTTTTTCTTGCTCTTCCCTTAACCTTGTGGGGCCAGGTGGCTGGAAGTTCCCACTGCAGTGCTACTGGAGAAAAAAGTTCACAACTTTTGGCTTCAAAGGGTCAATGGGAACGTTTTACAGCATGGAATTTCCCAATGCACCCAAATACAGATAGGAGAACTCCCATTACCAGACTTCTCATTAAAAACCCACTGAGTGAATGAAATGGCTCTCTCACATTATGATTCTACTTATAAATATTAGAGAAAGTTTTGATTTTTTTTGTCTAAATTTCTTACTGTTATTTCCCCCCCTTTCAGACAAATAAATCACTGATCAATACCTACAATCCCCAGATAGACGGGAGGCCACACTGCTTCTAGACTGATTATTCTGGCAGACGCTGCAGAACTTTGTACAATGTAATGAAAGGGCATTTTCTGGAGGTGGAAATAAAAAAAAAAAATCCTGATACCAATCCCATGACTAGCTCTTCAAGCTCATGTTCACTTGAGGCTTCTCTGTAGTCTAAAAAAAGGTTGAAAGATACATGATGTGGCTGTCTTTGTTTCAGGTTTTTTGTTTTTATACAGAAATCACACACACAACTTCAATCCAGACGAAAAATCCACTACTTTAAGGAAAGCATCTGTTGTGCAAAAAATCCCTCCCCCCTCCCCCTGTGCACCTTCATCTACTGAGGGTCTCCCTCCCTCCCACACACACACACACACACACACACACACACACACACGTACATACACACATGCGCACACACGCACACACATAAAGGTTCCTTCCAACAGCCAAGCTGGTGAGAAAGAGTCCTCCCTATATACAGTGAATTAGAGAGAAGCTGGATACAGTGCTGGCAAGAGGCACTGCCTCTATCTGGAAGTGTCCATGTTCTCCTCCTTAAAGTTACTGCAGTGCTCTATAACTTTCCTAGGGAGAAAACAAGGACAAGGAGAAAGGATTTAGTCCAAAGTCTCAGCAAACACTGAAGTGGGCCACAAGTATAAGGAACTGTTCCAATGCATCTTTATACTAACATATGTAATGTCTACATCAAGCTGTCCATTCCTTTCCCTGAGACATGCATCAACCCAGGACCTGTGTCAGAACCAGTCTACCTCAACAGAGGTTTCACAACTCACTCCTTCCACCTTGCAAACCATCACTGATATGCATCCAGATCCATACATGACCATTTATTCATCACACTCATCTTCCATCCAACTGTCATTCTGTCACATCCAGCACATTCCCATCCACGCATTCACTTACTTTCCTTTCATCTATCGTGCCTGTTGGCCAACAATTTAGTTCCTTCTTGACATCTAATTATTGCCATTTACTTACTTGTATAACTTCCTTTCACCATTCTTTCATTGTTACTGTCACTCATCCATCTCCTGACTCATACCCAGGTTATTCTGTCATTCAGTCTCCTACTACATCTTTTGTATGAATCATGTAGCTTCTCCACCATTTATCATCCCTTTAGCTACTGAAACTGTCAGTCACCCATATGAGCTGTTTTCTTAGCTCAGATCTGTCTACCTGCTACATTCCTCCAGTATCTATCAAGTCATAGCTTTCAACTTGCCAGGGGTGAACCATGTGCAACTGATTTTTAAAGCTGAATGACCCACAAGGAGCGACCTAAAACCAAATCAGAGGCAGTAGCTTGGGGCAGGGATTTTTTTAAACAGTGCAAGTAGGTCTTTATAAACAGCAGTGTGCAATGTAGCTCTCTTGGAGTGTCAGTGCTGGACACATACAGGCAGCAAGCTAACACCAAGTTTAGGGGTGGAGATAGAGTAAGGCTGCCCGCATAATCAGATCCAGCTGAGAGGTACAGCTCTTCTGTCCATCTGTTTATCTTCCTCTAACTCAACAGCATCAGCACCTTGGTGTCTGTTATCCACAGAGCCCTCCTCCCCTTCATCCTTTTGTCTTGCTCACTGACAAATGCTTCTCTGTTCACCTGTAATTCACTCATTTGTCTATTTGCCCTGGGCACACAGCACTGTGTTTTCATTAACCCCAGTACATACTGGTCCAGCCTTTAATAGTTTTACTGTCATGCATGAATACAAAATAAGCCTAGGCTAAGGCTATATGTTTAATAATTGTATTGTTTCTTACCGGGCCATTTCCTTTGTCTCCTGCCGTGCTGAAGCCATTTTAATCATGTCCTTCAGAAGAGGGATCCCTCCTTCTTTGATCAGCAGGGGGCAATACTTGTCAGCTGGAAAAAAGAGGAAAAACAGGACTGTGAATTTTCATCCCTACTGTGTGAAATTTCTACATGCTGGATGGAGCCTGACCTTCCTCCCAGACCACTAAGCTCAGATCAAGAAAGAGGGAGATTACGTGGCAGCCAGAAACAAGGAGACTGGTAAGTCATAAGGCATAGTTAATGCTCCTCTTTCTACTGAGGCAGACTCTCAGGGATGTGCTGTTTGCAGAAGCATCAGAGACAGAAAACAGTTGGGAATTCAAAATCCTTGCTGGAAGCTCCAGATGGTTGCTCCCATGCACTAAGCTCCTGTCATCATTTAATTTTGGTAGCATCACCTGAACACCCTGAGTAACTTCAAGGAGCTGCCTTGGGAGTCAGCCACCCACTCTGCACAGACACACTGACCTACAAGCCTTGGAAAATGGTTTCTCAAGACTTCTTGCCATCCCTATTAACAAACACAGCACATGGAGACTCCCAACTCTGGCCTTTTCACAGCAAGGGAAATGTTCTCCGAGGAGGGACTTACAGTAGACAGAGACGAGGTTATACAGTGCCCAGGTAGCCCAGTGCTGGCTGACAGGGGAGATGCCTTGTGGAAGGAGTCGAAGGATTGGCTCAAATGACCTGTGCAAAACAATAAAGAAGTGGGAAACCCAAAAGCTGCTGCTGCTAGCACCATTTCTTGCTTCAGTGCTGGAAACAACAAACCCTTTGTGCTCTAGGCTTGTGAATTCTGCAGCGATAAACCTCACTATGGTATCGCAACTCCTGGCATCAGTTGGTCACAATTGAGTAGTGCTGACAAACTAAAGTAAGTCTCTACTGTTTAACATGAGTCTGCTGCTCTGAGAATTGACTAGGAAGGATTAAACTGAGCACCCAAACTAATTTCAGGGCCATTCCAGCCAAACTTCTTTGTAACAGCTGAAATACAGCAATGCTGACCGTTCTGTAGAGGCTCACAGCTAGAAGGATCCTATCTACTGTAAGCCAAGGCACAGCTGAGGAGATGCTGACATGGACAGTGGCTGCACCATTTGTTCTTGCAACCATTAAATGTGTTTACATTGCAAATCGGGTATTGCAGATCTCACAACCCATTCCATCTGCTGTTGTATCAATCCACTGTGGGACCCCAGAGTTTGACCGCTCTTGCCACCAAGGTATCATGGCTATTCCACAGTGCACAGTATCACCCAAAGGGAATTCTGTTAGTACCACGTTTCAAAGGAAGCTGTAAACCACAAGTGAAAGATGATGCCCAAGAGAAACTTCTTCCTCCCGCAAGGTGAAGTTCCACACCTGGTTACATCTCCACCTTTTCTGCAATGCTGGAGAATATTTCTTGGGACAGCTCCAGCTGATGGACTACGTGGGCTGAGCTCCAGCATCCCTCACCTGTAATTGATATTTCTCCTGGAGTTAATGTCCCAGCTCTGGATGGCTGCCCACATCCTGTCTACCACTTCCTCCCGGCGTGGCTCACAGATACACCAAGCCTCTGGGCCGTCAAACATGATATGGGAAAGGACCCCGCATGCATTGTATGATACCTCAATCCCATCCGCTTTGCTCTCCAACAGGTTGCTGCCAAAACAGAAGGTAAGATTTTAAAGATGCCAGCACACCCTTGCCCAGCACTTCAGGGCTAGGCACCTCATTGTGTAAACACTGCAGCGTCCACTTTAACCAGAAATCACAGAAAACACCTTCTAACCAAAGTGTCTATACCAGGTATCTGACCCATCCCAGCTTCCCAAAATAGTTACAGTCACCAGACTTTATTACACTGTGTACTGACATCCCACCCAGCATCTGGGAGTTCCAAAGCCCTTTACCACACAGGTGAGTTTTGCTCTGGCTTCATTGTTTGTTCTTAACTGGGGGAGACCCTCCAACCATCAAGGGTAGCTGGGTTTGTCAAGGGCCATCTTGTAACTCATCACTGGAATCAGGGAGAATACCCAGGTGTTCTGGCTCACTGCTCCTCCTCCCCCAACTAACCATTAGACCATGCTGCTTCCTGCATGGTGATGTACAAACCTGAACACACTGATGAACTGAGAGGTCATAAGCTGGGGGCGGAGCTCCTTCACCTCTGCCACATTCCCCAACAGACCCAGCATGTTGCGATGTAGCTCCTGCTTCTCCGGGAACTCCTGTGAAAACCAGGAATATAAATTAAACTGAAGTAGAATCCCGGGGCACTGAGAACAACCCTCTGGTATGACTGAGGATGCAGCAAGTCCAGGAAGGCTGAGCACTTCCCAGTAGTCAGTGATGGGGCTCTCCCCTGGTACAGTGTGTGACATACCAGAGACCCACATGACGAAGTGGGAAAAATCAAGCCATTGTAAAGCCAGGGCCAGTTCTCCACTGCTCTACACAGCTGCTCAATGAAAGAGGAACTGTCTCCAGGTGCAGAATAAGGAAACAAAGAGTAGACATCAGAGTGTCAGTGTGCAAGGGGTCTTGTGCCCTTGGGGTGCATGGGGTCAGAAAAAGCATGTGCAAGTCTCTTGATGTGAAGCTATGATCAGAGATCAGATCAGGCCCAGATCCCCAAAGATAGCTAGGTTCTCAACACCTATTTAGGTGCCCAACTTCTCCTGAAGTCAATGGGAATTAGGCACCTACATACCTTTGAGGATCTGAGATTCAGTCCTGATCACTGGCTTTCTTGATCACATAGAGGTAGCTAGTCAGCACTTACTTTCAGACATTCCAGGAACAGCTTCATGCCACTGTAGTTGAGGAACATCTCACAGTTATCAGGAGTTTCATCTGTGATATTCCACAAGGCGCTCCAGGAGAACTCCATCACCTGATCGCACTACCAAGATGAAGAGAAGGAGACAGTAACACACCGGGCTAGATTATGGGGGCCAGGCATCTGCATACGGAGCTCTGGTAATACAGAAGCCCAATGTAAACCAGTCACAAAGAAGGGGAAGTGTTGTCACCTAGACAGCACCAAGAAGCTCTTTACTGAGTTCAGACTCACGCATGCAAAGCATGACCATTATATCTCTTTATCCAGAGGAGCTGAGTCCTCACAATCCAAGTGGGGACACATGGAACGTGCTGTTGCATGTAGCTGCTCAGCTCAAAAACCTGGCTCTGTAGCACCTCAGGGCTGAGCTTCCCCTCTCCAGGCCAAGCGGAGTATTACAGAAGGCTGCAATAACACACCCTCACTAAAACCAGCCCTCTTTATAACAACCCCTGCTACTAACAATGTCAACAGCAGGAACTGATCTTTTCATCAGGATGATACAGCAAATTGACTAACCCTATTCTTATCAACACTGCTTTTAAGGAACTTTTCTCCCAGTCCCCTGTGGGTTTGTTATAACAAGGCCGTGCTGCATAAAAGGAAACACTTACAGTTTTGTCTGTCAGCTTCTTCTGAATTAGTTTCAGCATGGTCTGCAGGCAGAGACAAGAAGAAAGGAGGAGAGTAAGAGCAGGCTTGCGAATAGCCCATAAGTGAAGTCAATGAAGTTAGGCAGACTCCAGCTGGCAGGCTGGATGGGGTCCTAGGCAGAAAACCTGGCTGAGAGAGTGAGCAAACCATCTGCCCCTGAGATTGGGGCTGCTTTCTCTGGTTCAGAGGGAGTGCGGCTGATAATGCACTACTGTACAGCAGATAACTAGGCAGTATGTCCCTGGCCTGCACAGCTCAGAAGAAAGCAGAGTTCAGTTTAGTACAGCACAAGTTGAAAGCCAGGGGAGTGGTCAAACAGCATCATGGCAAAGGGGTGTCCTCAGAGCCTGTCTGATGGAGAAGTGGGTACTTGGGGGACACTGGCTGGAAGGCTATTGCAAGCTTGAGGTGGAGCCTGGAAGAAGCCACAAAGACAGGAGTGGGTAAAGGAGGGAGAGGAAACATGGGGAGGACCCTGGGGTGTAGGTAAGAGGTAGCAAGCTGGGTAACAAGTTTTCCCAGTTAGTGGAGCAACTGAGACAGAGAGAGGGTGTGTGACCTGCTTGAGGAAAAACAGCAAAGCCTCTAACAGAGCCAAGATCAGCATTCAGGACCTCTGACTCCTGGGTGTTGGGGTCAGATCCTGCTGTCTTCCCTGCCCTCAGAAAAGTACTTCCTCAAAAGCATGAAGGATAGTGAGGTTCCCTACTAGTATGTCTGCAAGGGGCGCAGTTGAGGGTGGGGGATTCCATGACAGGACAGCACTGCTGGGACACCAGCTGTCCCTGACAGAAGCATTTTGACTGGCACTGTAGGATCTACTTAATGGACACCTGCAATGGAAATGATGGCGAGTTCTTTCAGATGGGAATCACACACTGGCTGGGTGAGCAATAAGCAGACACCCTGGTACCATACCAACCATGACAAACCCCATCTTGCCCACAGCCTCCTTATGGTCGTTGTCCACCTGGCAGACCAAGGCATTGCAGAGGTGCACAGCGATGCGCTGGATGGACTCATCCTGCCGACTCTGGTTGAGGATGTTCAGCAGCAGCTCGTTGACGCGGCGGTACTGAAATTCCAGTTCCTCTGGGATGCTGAAGTTACACAGTGTCAGGCAGCAGTTCCGCTGCACCTGAGGAGGGGAGGCAGGGCAAGCTGAGGATGGGCAGACACAAGTCTCTACACAACACTCTCCCAACCGCACCGTGCATGCACTTGCCATGCAATACAGTCACCATCTTCCACCCCATCACTGTCACTACCTATATACTCCTCAGTGCCCAGCCCCAAGCCAATGCTGCATACAGAGTCTTTGACAGTATCACCACACCAAAGTTACCACCCCTCACTGCCACATCATCCCCACAGGTTCGCTCTATCCCCAACAATGTCATCGCCTTCCAAACACACAGCATCACCAGCCTCCAACTTGGCAACCTGATGGCATCCTCCCAACACAACACCCCTATCACCTCTTTCTTTCCATTGTAACTATAGAGTTACATCTCTGTCACATGCAGAAGGTGGGTCCCACACACCATCTCATCCCTTTCCCACAAAGTGAATGGAAAGCCAGCCCTAGTCATCAAGTTGTCTTGTGATGCTTTAGTGCATGTTTGAAAATGCACAAAGTACTGGAAACAAGCCTGATATTGGGGAGAAGGGGACAGTGAAAGCAAGGGGTGGGGGCTGGCTTTGTTCTTACTGTAACTTCCTGGTAAGACTCCATGCCATTCAGCACCACTTGGATCACCTGCCGCCGTAGCTTCACACTCTGCTCAGGCCGGTACTCTGAGTTTGTAAGGTAGAAGAGGGCTGCACTGCCTGTCACCTGGATGTTCTTATCATCTTTATGGCACTTGAGGGCTGTGATCACCAGCTGCAAAGAAACAACACAAGGCTTTAAAGCCATGCAGGGATTGTGGCACCTCAATGACCACCACTGCCACACAGGCAAAAATCAAGAAGAGCATTCAGAACATGCTGCTCGTTGAAGACACCTTCTAAAATATAGGTCCTCACTTCCATTAAACCACTGAACCTCTCTCTTTTCAGGTATCATCCAAAGTCCATGAAGTCAATGGGAATGGGAGTCAGGCTAGTGGTGGTGAAGGGAAAAGGACTGAATTTTATGCTGTAGGATTCCCCTTTCCCTAAGATGAGATGGAGCAGGAGAGGGACCAAACTGACTGACTGTCAGAGGTAAGCGCTCCTAGGTGCTCACCTGCAGGGCTCTCAGCAGCTGGTGGCAGCGCTCAATACGGGCGATGTCGAAAAGAAGGTTGATGGCCCGGGATGTGATTTCAGGCCTGTGCTCAGTGTATGCCTCGATGGCATTTAGCACCTGCTCCTCGTTCTTGTCTCCACTCACCTGGTATGGTCAGAAAGAAAGAGCACAAAGTTGTTCAAGGACAGACTTGCCACGGGAGATCTGGAGGAACAGGAATCTGAAGAAGGCTTCAAACTTCTCCACCTGTTTCTAAGCTGTGAGCACGATCAAGCCCAAGACAGCAGGACAAAGGCTGAGCCACCTCTCAGCCAAGCTCTAGGAAGCAAGCTCCCAGGGCTGCACAGTATTTTGCAGGGTCATCAAGCAGGGTTATATATGGCTACTTCTCCCCTAACCCTCCCCCAGGTTGCTGAAAGCCCCTAGCGCTACAAGGAGAGTGAGGTACGGACAGGCCATGAGCCTTTCATAGCCATCTTTCAAAAGGCTGCACACTTCCCTCCTCACAAGTGCCACCCAGAGCACAGACCTGGCTCATTGCAGCAGTCCTGCAGCAAGAAGAGCTATGCCAAGTTCAAGAGGCACAACATTCCCAACCCCAGAGCCTGGGTGCTCCAATATGCAGGCAGGCAGGCAGGCAAGCAGGCAGCATTCTTGCTATCTGGAAGCATCCGTCCCTTTAACTTGCCTCTGACACCTACTGGCAGCTCCCCACTCGCCCTTTACCTTGTAGGCTGGAATATGTGTCAGACGACAAAGAGAAGTCTCAAAGAGGCCCAGGAACTGGAGTGGTCGTTTCAGCCCCCTGAAAGGGGCAATGCTGCTCTTTGCTGGCTCAGTGCTGGGAAAAGAAGAGATCATTCATCTCAGTTCTGCTGCTTGAGCTCCCTGCACCAAAGGGATGCTTGAAAACTCTCCACCCCTGATCTGACCACACTGTCCACAAGGCCAGAGGAGCTGAGGCTAAATTTAGTCATATCCCACTCATGCTTCTTAGAGACGCTCACATCTTATGTTTAGTCAGGAGCTTTCATCCTAGACCAACTCATCAGTTTAGGACAAGAAATGTGTATGTTCATCAGCAGTGGGAATTCAGGTGGGCAGAACGCAGTTGTCCAAGTTACACATCCTGGCTCCAATACAAGAGCTAACACCAATTTTTATATGAACAGCTGTGGATTATTAATGAGCAGACAGCTTCAGGCCTCATCTGAAAGACCTCCTTCCACTACCACACCAGAGCAGTACTGACATACGCCACTGCTGAGTCACCCAACATCTCCGCTGTGTGCCTCAGAGATCCGCAGCCACTGTTTCCCACCAGTTACGTAAAGGAGCCAAGGCTGCTAAACAGCCCTTTTGCTTTGCGCTGTACTGGCTCAGAGTATGGGGAGGGGGAATTTCTGGTTGACCTAGAATGACAGACCTCCAGAAGCAGCCCCTACAGAAGCTGGTGGGATGTTCAAATGAGTGGCACTGTTCCTTGTGGTCCTGGTGAAATCCTAACATCCACGTCTTCATTCCAAACCTCTAAAACACCCCTGGTTCATTTCTTTGCTAACCCCCGTGAAGCAAAGTGGAAATGTTGTTGTGTCCCATCCCAAAGGTAGCTGAGCTCCTGTGTGCTGTGAAGATGCAGTTTTGAGAGGGCTTTGTGGTCCTTTGGGAGGAAAGCTGATGAATCAAGTGTGGCCGCCTCTAGATGATGAATGCATAAGGAAAAGGACAGCTGCAAAATCCACACTATTAGGTTCAAAAGCTGAACCATTCACTATCTGTAAAGCCAACATTAGTGTCACACAGGGGGATCATTCCCAAGGGGATGGAAGCTTTAGCATCACTAGAGGCTGGGGACAAATGTCTTTTTCAGTAATAACTGTTCCAAAGAATGTCAAAGTCCTAACAAAGAGCTCCACCCTTCCTTTGGCTCTAAATGAAATCTCCCATGCAGTGAGGCTGCTGTGACCGCTGTGCCTGCTCAGCTTTTTAGCCTTACCTTGTCTGGCCCATTTTCTCCTCCATGCTTGAGATAGTGCAGTTCTCCAACATGGTGTGCCCTGAGATATCCAGCGAGGTGAGGTTTACCAGGTTTTCCACAAATAGGTTCAGCACTCGCCGGGTCAGCTTGAATTTGTAATAGCTGGACAGATGGTCTCGGGAAATATCCAAGTGCCTATAAACAAGAGCAAGCATCTCAGGGTCTGAAGAGCATCACACAGGGCTTCCCTCCCTCCTCCAGGGCACAGCTCAGAGGCACAAGTGCTGATTTCTGAAGCAACAGGGATGTGGCTCTATGGAATGGGCAGTAAGATCAAGCCAGGTGCATGCAGCACATGACCTCCTTTGGGAACCCTGGCATGGATCTGTCCTGAATGGAAGTTAGGGAGTACCTGAGTCATTATAGGACTGCAATGGCAATACTTTCTCCTCCATAACCTCCCTTTCCCAGGCTCCATCATTATCACACACCTTATTTCTCTAATCATGGAACTGGCTACTTATCTTTCACCTGGGGGTCAAGATACATTAAGGCAGCAGTTCTGAACCTTTTTCAGTCAATGTACCCCTTGGTCTCAGAGTGAGACTTCATGTACCCCCTTTCAATGGGAAATTCATTTTTATGTCAAACTACGTGTAATCGTGTGTTATAAAAATGGCAAGATACTCATACAAAGACTTTTCAAATTGTCAAGACTTTTTTTAGGCCCTTCAACCTGCATTAGACAATGTCTGAAATATATCCCATGTATCCCCTGATGAGGCTTCACGTAGCCGCTGGGGGTACACGTACCCCCAGTTCAGAACCGTTGCATTACAGGATCTTCTTGCCTACAGGAAGTGTGCTAGGGTTGTTTAGTCTGGAGAAGACTGAAGAGAGATTGATAACTGTCTTCAAATGCTTGAAGGGAGATTACAGAGAGGATGGAGATGGACTTTTCTCTGTGACTGTAGGGGACAGAAATGCCCTCAAGCTATAGCAGGAGAAATTTAGGTTGGAGACTAGGAGGAAATTCTGTCTGTGATGCTATCTAGAGAAGTTGTGGAACCTCTAAGTTTTCAACAGCAGGTTGGACAGACACTTGGCTGGGATGGTTTATTGAGGAATGATCCTGCCTTGAGCAGGGGGCTGGACTAGATGACCTTGTGAGGTCCCTTCCAGCCCTGCTTTCCTGTGATCCTATGAGCCCCAAAATTAAAGAGTTTTCTTATTCTTTCTCTGGTCTCTTCCCTTGTTATATCCATGATACTGTGCCAGGATCTTAATGGTCTCTGTTACTTCAGTCATATCAAGTTACTTAGCTTTAAATGCTTGACGTTCATGTGAAAAAGTCCCTGCCCCCTCTAGCCCACAGCTGCCCCCATGGTGCTCCACATAGGGTTGAGTCCTGACCACCCCCAACCGGGGCAAACTACACCCACTGACAGCACCACTCTGGCCCCAGCCAGCATGCACAGCTTCCCGACAGGGCTGGTCCAGTGACCACTTGGGTACTGCTTGGCTCCCCTGGCCTCCAGCAGCTCCTCCTCTTCTTTCTACCTTGCCACTTTGGGCAGCGGGCAGTGTCGGGAAGCTGGTCGGCGAGAGGTTGGGGAGGCCGTGGTCAGCCATGGAGACATGTGCCTGGCATCACATGCCCAGCCAGGTGGCTCCTGCCCCAGCACGTGAGGCTCCAGCTTCCACCCACTCAGCTGCCTGCAGGTGGTTGCTTATTGTGGGTAGAGCGGGGAAGCTGGAGCAGGTGCTGGCAAGTGCCATGCAGGCTGCCCTAGGTGGGGCTTGGCCCTGTACAGAGTGCTACAGGGGCAGGCATGGACCAGATACAATCAGTTGGCAGGGGGGATCCAGCCTACAGGCTGTACTTTGCCCACCCCTGCTATAAAGTATAACCGGTGGACAGGATCCTTTGAGTGGTAAAGGTGTCTTTGTTTGGACCAGAATGTTCTGAGTATTATTCCTAATCCAAATGTGGAAGCCACATGGCAACTGTGCCACCTTCCATCTGTGGTCATGGAGTCAGCACACTGCCATGTGGCAGCAACAGCATTCCTGTTAGGTCACTGGTACCTACTGACTTCGGACTATGCTGCTCTCCCCTCCACACAGAGCATTGAGATTGGTTGCTTATTTTACATGTGATGGGCTTACGTGGAGCTCAGTAATCAGACTGTGCGCCTGCTGCTGAATGCTACATTTTTCTCTTATCTGTGACCCAGGCTCAAACTTTGGACTTTTTGATTTGCTAAGTGGCTCAAAGGAGCTGTTTTTGATTTCACAATGTGATTATTGCTAGGACCCTGACAGCTGTGTATGCCCACAGATCAACAGTCATTTTCACTTAGGCCAGGGTACAAAATTAGGGGAGTTCACACAAAGTACCGGATCTGGCTTTCCTTATTGCGGGTAAAACTCTTTCTGGCTTCAGCAGAGGATTTGGCTGCAAAGCTAGTGAATGATCCAGCCTCTTTGCAGAAAAGTTCACAAACTTATGGTGGGGGGAAGGAGGAAAATCAACCATCAGTGGCAGGGCAGGGAAGACACTTAGTAAACAGCTATAGGAACCATTTCTGGGAACTAGAAGGCTGCTGTGGGAGGGCAGGTTGGGAGAATTAGGTAATGTCAGTCTGAAGAGTAAGAGCTTAAGGGAAGATATGATACAGGTTTTCAGATATCTGAATGGCTGCCATAAAAAAGAAGTAGAACAATGGGTCTCCCTAGTTACAGAAAGCAGGGCACAAGGCAGTGGGTTTAAACTGCAGCAAAGCCGATTTAGATTAAAACCAAGGGAAAAATTCCTAGCTGTAAGAAAAGTAGGACAAGGGAACAAGCTGCCCGGGGAAGCTGTGGAACCTCCTTCACTGGAGGTTTTCAAGAGGCTGGGTGGGGATCTGCCTGGGATGGTTTTGGAATAGCTCATTCTGACTTTGCACAGGGCTTTGGACTAGAGGTCCCTTGAGATTCCTTCCAACCTCATGATTCTAGGAGTCTTGAGAGGTTCTGAGCACCCAGCTAGGAGAGAGCAGGCAAGAAGGGAGGTGGCTGCTGACCTGAGCTTGCGGAGCTGTGCAATCACTTGGATGTGCTCCTCTGAAAGGTCCATGTTGTAAAGCACTAAGGAAACCAGACTGTCCTTCCACTGGGTCAGAAACACCACATCTTGCAGCTGGATCCCCGACAGATCTAGGGCTGTGAGGGAAGCCAAGGGACGAAGCAATGTTTCCACATTCACCCCCTCGGTCAGGCGACCCAGGTTCAGGAAGCGCAGGCGGCTGAAGCCCTCAAAGGTAAAGTCCTTGACCAAGACCTGGCGCGTGGGGTTCACCAGGCAGTCATCCTCGCAGCCACCTGGGTTCTCTTCCTCATAAAAGATATTACAGCAGCCAAAGAGGCTCAGGGAGACAAGTGTGTGGCTGAAACTCAACAGGGTCTGCAGGCTCTTGGCTGTCAGCTTCTCACAGTTAGTCAGCGAGAGCTCTACCAGGTCCTGGAAGAAGGGAAGCTGACAGTTAGAAATGCTTTGCAGTCATGCTCCCACAGCAGTCCTGAACTAAGAACTTACACAAAATAGATCATACAGGGTCAGACTAATGGTCCAGCTACTGTCTCCGACAGTGGCAGAAATGGATGCTATAGAGGGAGAGCACTGAACCATATATCTCTAAAGTGATCTATCCCCTATTCAGAACCCTCCTGGCATCCACCATTATAGGTTTAGAGATAGATGCCAGAGGACATCTCCAACCATTCTGTTCAACAGGCATTAACAGATCTATTATCCATGAAAGGATCCGGTCCCTTTTTTAACCTGGCTGTGCTCTCTGCCTCCACCACCTCCTGTAGCAATGAATCCCACAAGCTTAGCACACACCATGTAAAAATAATGAGTTTTTTTTAAATCTGTCATCTACTAATTTTGGTGGGTGCCCCTTAGTTCTAGTATTCTGGATCTTGGTGAACAACAGTTCCCTGTTCACTTGGTCCATGCTATTCATGATTTTATGGACCTCTATCATACCCCTACCCTCAGCTTTGTTATTTCCCAACTGTAGAATCCTAGCCCTTTTAGTCTCTCCTGGTATGGAGACTGCTCCATGTACCTAATGATTCTGGTTGCCCTTCTCTGTACCTTTTCTAATTCTACTACATCCTTTCTGATATATGGGGACCACACCTGCACACAATAGGAGAGGCTAGGACTAGACCGCTCCTATCAAACACAGCCACTGTCCCCACCAGTCCCTGCAGTACCCCTCTCTGTGGTAGGGTGAAGGCAATACCCTGGGCTCTCACACAGTCAGATTTCCCATGCCATTCCCCAGAGTGGCTCTTGAAGCCAGAACCTTGATGAAGCTGGTAATGAGTACGTGTAATCTATGGATCTCCCTGACAGCTCAGAGGCTGCTGCTGCCAGGAGGACATAAATGCAATGCCACCTGCTTTCTGATGGCCTCCAGGTCCTGGTCCTGCACTATCTGCTCCCGCAAATGGATCCGGGCTAGCCTCGTGCTCCGTGGATCTGAAAACAGGCTGAAGAAGCTTTCATGGGGTTCAAAGACACTGTCCGTCTTCACCAGCTCCACATACCTATGGGAGAGGTTATAAGGTTAGTAAGTCAGAAGGGTTTAGATGGCCACAACTTGTAGGATTTTGATTACAGTTCTTGTGGTTTCATTTGCTAGGAGAAAACACAAATGACTGCATGTGCACATGCTTCCAGAGAAAGACGGGTCCTCTTCCAATCATTCAGAATAGCCCACAGGCTCCTTGAAGCTTGGCTGTTACCAGCCCTTGACAGAACATAAAAGAATCCCTTTGAAATCTACACCCCTCGCTTCTGGCTTTCAGCCATTATAGGGGGATTCCAAGCATATTACTGATTGAGAGTTCCATTGATCTTTTAAGGGAGATTTTGCTAATTAAACCAATATGGACTCAACCAAGAGCAAAGCAACGGTTGGATCAGGAAATTTCCCCATCTAAAATTAGTGAGATTTTTTTTTTTCATTTTAAGGCACTTAAAGGAAAGGCATTTTAAGGAACTTGGCAAAGGTTCTGTGCTGGACTGAGACCTCACAGGCAGCCACTTAGCCAGGAGAGAGCTGTGACAGCCAAGAATCCCCAGAAGTAGGTTGTCTCATAAAAAAACGGGAGTAGCAGCTTTGAAATGCAACATCTGCTATCATTTTGCACTCTCAAATTTTCCTGGCTTGTGGGAAGTGTTGAGATGCCTCAGCTAAGAGAAACGGTTGGTTCCTTTAAAGCTCCCAGGTGCTCTAAGTGAGAGCAGCTCTTGTTTCACTCAGGTTTCAGCTATATGAAGAAATCAATCAGCAGAACTATCCCAGAATAATGATACTTCTAGGCTGATTTACCTCTCCAGAGGGATACTCTATCCTGGAGTAGGAGTGATCTCAGTCTTATTTACCTGGTCCACTTTTGAACAAAGCAAAGTACTGGTGGTCAATTCTCCCTTGTAGCACACCATGTCCTGGCCAACCCTGGACCCTCTTTACGTAGAGCGCATAGGATGGGGGCCACCAGAGAGCTATTCTGTCAGCTGAGGAACCCCTCTACACAGCAGCATTCCCTAAGTAGGGGGAATCTCCTGGCTTGAAGGCCATATATGCTGGCATGTGGCCCCCGATAGTGGTCAATCACAAGGTCTTCAGGAAAAACCAGGTGCCAGTTACTTTTTAATATAAGAATCAAGAAGAAAAGCAAAAAACCCCAAACACCTTACCCCTGAAGCTCTTCCCAATACATTTTTTGTCAGACTATCCCTGTGACTCTGTCAAGCAAATATATATACCCTTCCTCTCAAGTCCTAGTGTTTTCCCCACCCCTGTCCCCAACCAACAACCACACAAGCTGGTCACGTACTCATTGACAAGCTTGTCACAAATCTCGCTTGGCAGGAAGATGTCTGGGTGAAGCCGTAGGGTCTCATTATCCAGTAGATAGCAGAGGGTTCCCTCCAGATTGCGCAGGCAGTAATCTGTGCATAACGTCATCAGGGACTCTGGGCTGTCAGACGCCATCTTCAGGGGATGGTGCTTGTTGTGGCAGAGGAAGGAAGCAGGGAACTGAGGCAGAAGGAAGCTTTTCAATTCAAGAGGTTCCCTCCCCCTGGACTAAGGAGATTCCAGGCTGGATTTACAGGGACATCAGGAAAGCTGCAGGCAAAAGACAGATAAACAAATAAACAAAGGGATGATGGATTGGAGAACATGATGCAAACTGCTGGTGCTGGGGAAACATGGCTAGGTTCATGGGCCTATTCATGCCCAAAGAATCTGCAGCTGCTTGGCCTGCCCTGGAAGTAATGCCCCTCAACATCTCCGTGCCCGTTTCTGCACTAGCAAACTGGTGAGAATGCCTCTCAAGCTTCCAGTTTGCTGCAAGGGGTTAGTTAGTGAATATAACTATGTTCACCAGTTAGGTAACTAGCAGGAAACCTCCCCCACACAAACTTTCCTCACCATAAGATGTATCTAGCTGGGGAAGGGCATCTCTGAAAGGGAATGGGGGATACCACCTTCCCTGGGTCACTTAAAACTACACTTCACAAATCCAGAGAAACTAAACAACACAGACAAGTGCAAGGTGATGCACCTGGGGAGGAACAACCGGCACCATACCTGCAGGCTGGGGAACTCCCCTCTTGTCAGCACGGAGGTGGAAAAGGATCTTGGAGTCATTATTGACTCCAAGATGAACATGGCTCAGCAGTGTGGGGAGGCGGCTAGGAAGGCCAACTGTACCTTGTCGTGCATCCACAGATGCATTTCAAGCAGGACCAAGGAGGTGATCCTCCCCCTCTATGCGGCACTGGTCAGGCCGCAGCTGGAGTACTGCGTCCAGTTCTGGGAGCCGCACTTTAAGAGGGATGTGGACAGCATCGAGAGGGTCCAGAGGAGGGCCACTCGCATGATCAAGGGGCAGCAGGGAAGGTCCTATGAGGAAAGGTTATGGGACCTGAACCTGTTCAGCCTCCAGAAGAGAAGGCTGAGGGGGGATCTTGTGGCCTGCTATGAACTAGTCAGGGGGGATCAACAGGCACTGGGGGAGTCCCTGTTCCCCCGGGCGCCGCCAGGAGTGACCAGGAATAACGGTCACAAGCTGGCGGAGGGAAGGTGTAAGTTGGACATCAGGAGGCGCTTCCTGCCATGGCAGGGGGGCGGGCTAGATGATCTGCCCAGGTCCCTTCCGACCCTAGAAACTATGAAACTATAAACTGTAAAGACAATTGCCCCATGCAGACTGGCGGAGCTGAGCGCCTTCCCTCTCTCGCTGAGGTCCATTATTCTGTTTCCAGCAGAGAGTCCGGGATCTGAAATCATTTGTCTGAAATGCTCGGTTAGCCAAATACAGACGTGGCACTAGCCACAGCATGGCAACAAAAAGAGCTATGTTAATAACTGAAAGAACTGAAATAACCAACGTGCTGACAGAGACCATTAATGTACTGAGGAGAAGCCCTCCAGCCCAGCAAGGCAGCCTCAGGCTGATGGGGCCAGGAGGAGAGAGGCACCTGAGGGTAGCTGTAGCTCAGGGGGAATAGCCCTTGCTTCTAAAGGAGCTGTCCTTGGTTTCCAGTCCCAGTCCTACAGCCTGTCTGCCAGGCTGGGTTCAAATGAACTCTCCAGCGAGCACAGAAATAATAACCAGCACACTGCCCTTGTGTTACTGGGTAGCCTGTACTGTCCCACTGTTCTACAGAGCTGGGCTCCCATGGATTACTGGGGCTCCAGGATGGCTCCAAAAGTGGCTGCCCAATAGCCGGGGAAGAGTCACAGGACCTGAAGGAAATCAGCCCAGCACCAGCCAGCTACTGTGGTGAGTAAGAGTGCTTCCTCCTGCAAAGGAACAGGTCCTAGGTTGCTGGGCGGTCAGCCAGCTCCTGGCAAGCAGAGCCATCTTTTGTAGGCACCTGGGGCCCTCCTTCCCCCAGGAAGAAGTTGGCATGCATGGGGCAGCCCCTTGGACTTGAGAGAAGGCCAGTTTGGATGCGAGTCCAGGTCCTGC